GAATATCGAACTGGGGGGGGAGGGGTGGGCAGGGAGAAAAATGCAACAATGAATAAATGGAAATCCAAAATCTGTAAATTTTCATTAAAATTAATAATAACAATAATAATAAAGCACAAAAAAAGAATAGTTCTACTTGTATATTTCCAAAGACAGATGTTTGTTCTTCTGACAGCGCACGGCATTTTCAACATTTCTCACTAATGCCAGCCATAATCCCAATGCGTCCATGTTTTGTCAGTCTTCCTTACCCACCATCCAGCTTTGAGGTGCTTAAGAGACACCTGAAAGTATCATGGTCTGAGTCAAGCACGTCTTCATTCTCAAACTAGTGTCTTTGCTTTTTTTAACTCTTTCAAGGGGACTGAGTAGATTTGCCCAATGCAGTATGTCTTTTGCTTTCTTGACCGCCACTTTCAAAGCTCTAGTTGCAGAGTCGAGGCAAATTAAATCCTTGAGAACTTCAGTATTTGCCCCATTTCTCATAATGTTACTTACTGGACCAGTTGTGGAGATCTTTGCTATTTTTCATGTTGATATGTAATCTATACTGAAGGCTGTAGTCTTTGATCTATGCATGCTTCCAGGCCTTTTCCATGGTAGGACGCGCAGCAAGTAAAAATGTAAGATCTGCATACTACAGGTTATTGACTACTCTTCCTCCAATCCTCTTGTCACATCCTTCTTCATTAAGCACAACCGCTCGGATGATTTTCTCAGCTTCCAGTATGAATGAGCACAGTGAAAGAATCCAACCTTGCTTCACATCACTCGTTGGTAAACCTTGCAGTGTCCCCGTGTCTGTATAAACAAACAATTGCCCGCATGTTCACATGAGCACAAGAAAGAGTTCTGGAATTCCCATTCTTTGCAACATTATTCACAATTTTTTCAATAGTAAACATCTTTGTAGCATTCTCTGTTTTCAGCCAAGATCCAGCTAACGTCAACAATGATATCCCTCATTCCACATCCTCTTCTGAACCCAGTCTGAATTGCTGGCAGTCTCCTATCAATCTACTGCTGCAATAATCTTTCATTATCTTCGTGTGCGGCAACTCGTATTCATTATATATTATAACTATAGAGTCGCAACACCTAGATTCAAATCCTGACTATACTATTCAAATCCACATCTACTACCTATATGACACCAGCAAAGTCGCTTTAGATAGAAATAATAATGGTACCTAAGAAGCTGCATTGCAATCCCAAAGGTAAGGGTTCAAATCCACCAGCTGCTCCACTGCCTCTGAAAAGCAGTGGAGGGTCAGCTAAGAGTTGGTCTGGCTCAATGCCACACAACCACCACCACCGTCCCACAGTGAGGTAAGTAGGTGCTGATGATCTAGCGGTTAAGGAGTTGCACTGCTAACTCAAAGGCATGTGGGTTGAATCCCCCGGTTGCTCCATGGGAGAAAAACAGGCAATCTCCTCTCATGTGATTTACTACCTCAAAAGCCCCACTAGCGGGTCAGCTATGGATTGGTTCTGACTCAACGGCACATAACAACAGTCACCCCCCCAGAGTAGTTGCTGCGAGTAAATAAATAATAAACGCAAAATGTTTAGAATGATTCTTGACACTTTTTCTTTCACTGTATGACTGTAATTATTTGTTTAACTAAATAAGATACATTGACTTTCATAGTAATTATTAAACTTTGAGGTATGTTATATGAAGCACAGCCAGTTTAACGAGAACGCATAGAAGGATAATAATTTGGTGATCTGATATTAAGACTGGTTACTATTACTTTGTCAAAGTATTTTACAGTATAACTCAAAGAAGAGAACAATAATATTTCTAATACAAATGCATCATTTCTTCAGCTAAGAATCTGTTTTCTGTCAGCCCTTAAAGGTTTGTGAAATTGGAAGTGAATGCTGTCCCTTAGATTTAAATGAACCATATAATTTGGCATGTTGCTAGGAGGGGCTATTCCTTGAAGAGGTACATGATGCTTGGAAAGGTAGAGGGTTGGCGAAGGAGAGGAAGACCCTCCATCATTTGGATTGACATGGTGGCTGCTGCAATGGGCTCCATTGTGCCAGGAAGTGTGAGGATGGCACAGGATAGGACAGGGTTTGCTTTCCATAGGGTCTCTTTGAGATGTACTCAACTCAACAGCACCGAACAACAACAACAACATTTTTTTACATCTCCTGAAAGTAGTTACTTTAAGTTCACACTTTTGTTTCATTACTTATTCACCTACATATCTTAATTACTTTTCCCCATTTGGGAGAAAACTGCTAATTTAACCTTAATTTGTATGTAGCTCCTCCTTTACCAGCTTCAGATTCCACAGGGAACACAGGTAGTAAGCTTATTGCTTTTGAAATTACTTTTTTCATTACTTAGAAAGTTCTAAGTACGGCTGTTGGAATTTTTTTGTTGTTGTAGAAACCATAAGGTTTGTTTTCTTTAATGTACTCCTTGTGTCACGGGGAAATATCTGGAATTCCTTGTTCTCCACAACAACCACACCAAACACAATCTGTTGCCTTCATGTTCATTCTGACTCACTGCAATCCTTGGTGGTGAAGTGCACGGCGGCCCCAAAGGGCTTCTGAGTAGCAACCAACTCAACTGCAATGGCTTTGAATGTCTTTTATTACAAAAGTTTTAATTTACACTGGTTTTGTTACAAAGTTCACATACATTATTCTTCACACTGGATCTTTCCCATTTCCTTTGCCCACCCCTCACTTCAACCAACAAATTATGTGTCCCTATTACTACAGTATTTCACATTTGACACATCAGTGTCACAGTGTTTAGCATCACAGCAACCATGAGTTACCTCTGTACAGCAATGCACAGATCACTGCTAGAACACCTAGAAGAATGTTTGACAAAAAAACCAAAAAACAACCAATTTGAACCAGGCCTGAGGGCCAAAGATTAAAATCACCGACCTTGGGCTTGGTAGCATAACTTTCTGTCCACTAGGCCAACGGAGCTCTCTCTATGTCGTCGTTGTTATTGTTAGGTGCCACGAGTCATAGATGACTCATAGGGACCCTATAAATGAAAGGCCTGAGCACTGTTCATAGAGTTTCTGGAGGCAAGCCATTTCAGAAGTGGATGCCACTCCTGCTTCCAAGATTGTTTTAATCAGGAAGCTCCTCTAAACACCATCCACCATGGATAATTATTACACCACCTCCTGACCCATCCTCACCCGTCTGCTCCCACCCTCCCCTCCTTAGATCCTCATACATGTTTTATTAGTTATCTATTTTTATAATAATGGTCCTATACAGTGTTTGTCCTTTAACAGAAACAAGTCACCGGGCTGTTATTTCATGACTTCACTGGATGACTTCTAAGAGTCAATCTTCAGGTTTGCAGTGATGTGATTACTTACATCACGCATCAAGAACTACAAGGTAACTGTCAATTCTTCATCCACCCCATGGTCTCCACATCCACACCCACACCTAACCTCCCAACCCGTCCTCATCATGCCAGAAGAAAAGTACCTGGACACACAGCATTTTTAAAGTTATGCTCTGCTAAAATATGCTTTAGGGGAAACAAATACATATCAATGAGTTAGCAGAGATAAAGAAAGCCAAAAAAGGAAATATATACCCTTGATTTATTATTAGTTATGGGTCCATCCCTACTTGACAGTGCACAAGAAGTCAGCACTGACAAACACAGAAGTCAGAGAAGTGCATTGTTGACAAAACGCAGAAGTCAAGTAAGGTCGTTATTTAGAATAATAAAGCTGTAATATATTGCTGTTTGTGCCATCGAGTTGGAATCAACTCATAGCTGAGTTTTCAGAGGTTATAAGTGGCATTAGAAGACGACAGGCCATCTGTCTCCCGCAGATCAGCTGGTGGATTTAAAGTATCTGCCTCAATTGGCAGCACAACCCCTTATCACTCAACCATCAGAGTTCCCTGGCCTATCACGCAGTTATTATATACAGAGCACAGTCTCTGTAGCAACATGGCATCATTTCACATATATTTATAATACCATAGAGAGCTCTACTGGCACCACCCATAGGGAGCTGCACTCTTAATTCAAAGGCCAGGCCACTTCTCAGAAACCCTGTGCAGGCTCAGGTAGGAGTCAGTTATAACTAGAACTATAACTCTATAACAATCTATAACAATACTTTATAACTCTACTTTAAAAAGCAAGGGAGGGCGAGCTCTGGTGGCCTAGTGGCAGGAAACTGCACGGCAATCCCAGAGGTGCTCAGTTCAAATCCACCAGATGCTCTGCTGAAGAAGGAGGAACAATCGCCTCCTGTACCAGTCAGATCCAATTTGACGGTACACACATAAAAAAAAAAAAAAATAAAATAAATAAATAGAATTATCTTTAAAAAAAAAAAGCAAGGGAGGAAGGGAGGTGATGAGCTTCGCAGTTTTATTAAATCTCCTCCTTCTTAACATGATAATATTCCCATTGTTGTTGTGTGCCGTAGAGTCAGAACCAACCCACAGCTGACCCTCCAATGGGTTTTCAGAGGCAGTTAATCGCACAGGAGCAGCCATTGGCCTCAAACTGTGTGCCTTCAGTATTACAGTGCAGCTTCTTGCCACTAGGCCATCAATATTCCCATATTAATACAAAAATCATCACAAATGTGACCAACACTCTACTATCAGATCAAAAAGCACAATTAAAAATAAACACACACACACACACACACACAAAAAACCCAAACAACAACAAAAAAAAACCACAACAACCCCAACCCCAACTCTTTATCTGCTCTACTAATTCATTATTACTGATGAATCAAAGCACCCCGCAGCCCTGCTTGGTCTGAATCCCCTACTTGCAGCTTGATGAACAAGAGCAAAGATTGAGACAGACTGCTCAAGCCACTAAAGGAAAAACCCATCTCCTCGCTCTTAACAGCACTCCCTGTGCGTATCTGTAGCACTGAGGCAATAATCAGAAATGGGCTATATCTGTGGATTAAACGTCTTCATCTGTACACGGCGCGATCCTGAAGGCAGCTCACCTCGGAGTCTTTGGCCTGTTGGTTACGAACGACGATCAAGTTGTACAGGAGCCTGTCATCGTCGGCCTCTGTGTGGGACACATCGTGAGGTATACTCCACAGATTCTTCTCGTCATCCCTCGCCAGGGTGGTTCCAAAGGAGGAGTACGGATTGCTGCCACTGTTGAAGAAGAGAAGTGGTAACAAATAAAAAACAAAACAAAACCCAGATCCATACTTTGATTTTAAGAAAACCAGAAGCAGCCTGCCAGAAGTTGCTCTCAAGCAGTGAGCATCTGTCTTACCCCACTAGAAAAGGACAGTTAGCAAATTACTGCTTCTTAACTCACATGTCAGAAAGTCTCCTGGTAGCAGGTGAATGAAGGACCATTACTAGAAACTGGGCCAAGAATAAACTGCTGACATTTCATTTCAATAAACTGGAAAGACAAGGTTCATTCAGTTATATTCAGATGAGCCAGTGTCTGACCTTCTCTACACGTATCTTCCTCCTTTTTCAAAAAATCTGAATCTGAATACAAGTTGATAAATCAATATTGACTTTTCATCAATATGATTTTATGACACTAATTACACTTAATATTTTCTAATATTAATTGTTGTGTTGTTGTTGTTGTTAAGTGCCATAGAGCTGTAGGTGACTCATAGCGACCCTATGAACGGAAGTCCTCAACACTTGTGTGACTTTTATCCTTTCCCCAAGTTCATAGGGTTTCCGAAGGCAAGCTATTACAGAAGTGGATGCCACTCCTGCTTCAAAAATATTAATTACACTGTGATTAATTATAATATTTGATCAGTTCCTTACAGTATACGGCCTTTACCCTCACCCGACTTATTTTTCATTCATTTTTACTTCCTTCTCTCATCCTTCCCAACTCTGATAACCACCCAAGGATGATCTGAGTGTGTAAACTTCTCCTTGGCTTTCTAGAACAGTGGGTGTTTATCACAATTGTCCCTTTTCAACTGAATTATGTCACTCAGCATAATTTGTTCCAGATTCGCCCATGTTGTGCAGTATTTCTCAGATTCTTCATCATTCTTTCATAATGCAGAATGATCCACTGTGTGAATGTACCAGTTTCTTTATCCATTCATCCATCAATAGACACCTGGGTGGTTTCCATCTTCTTGCTATTTTGAAAAATTTTACAATGGACACAAGTGGGTGCGCATCAGTTTGTGTGGCCATTCTTATTTCTTTGGGATCTATACCTAGTAGTGGGATTGCTGGAGCAAATGGCATTTCTATTCCCAACGTTCCAAAGGCGTGCCAACCTGCTTTCCTTCTTGGTTGCACCCTTTTCCATCCCCACCAGTAGTGCATGGCAGTTCCAATTATCTCCACACTCTTGCCAGTATTTGGGATTTGCCACCTTGTTGAATTCTATTATCGTTGCCAGGGTGAGATGATCTTTCATTGCTGTTTCATCTGTGTTTCTCTGCCTCCCCTTTTCTTTATAAGCGCCAGTGTAACTACCGTGTTCAAGCCATTTGCTTTGTAGGGATTAAGAATTGCTTTCCTATGCCTAGAGAAGGTAGCTCTGGTGGCTTAGTGGTAAGGAACTGCACTGCCAACACAAAGGTATGGGGTTCGAATTCACCAGCTGATCTGCAAGAGGATGGGCAACTTCTCCCATGAGATTTACTATTTCTGAAAACCTGCTTGGAGGGTCAGCTGTGGGTCGGTTCCAGCTTGACTGTACACAGCAACACCAGACACTCATAGAGAAGAATTACTCAGAACAAACCCTATGTTCAAATTTTTCTAAGTGTTAAGGACTTCAACCAGATCAAACTGGTTCAGTAATTGCCATTATATGCACTGCAGAGAAGCCAGGTCTGTTGACCATGGTATTCTGACCTGGGTAGAAACAAACCAGGACCCACTGAAAGATGGCCGGCAACCATGTTATTCTGAAATGTGCACTGCTCTCCAGAGTCCTGCCAGGGATACTGCATTCCAAACGGCCAGACACAATTCTTCCTCCTAAAATTTACAGGAGCCTCCCTGAGAGACTGGATTATTAGCAACAGATTTGGGTGCTTTGCAAAAAACATAGACAACCACTGTTCACCAAGGCCATTCAGTAACCATTTTAAAGTAGTTTGAAGCCCTGGTTTTAGTTCTGTCTAACATGACCATTATATTAAGAGAAGGATGATAAGGCTTTTATTATGTGTGTGTGCGTGTGTGTTAATATATGTGTGTGTAAATATATATATGTGTGTGTGTGTGTATATATATATATATATATATATATGCCAAAAAGGTCTGAATTGTCTTTAACAATTAAATATAACACAACATAAAAATGAAAACAAGGCAGCAAATAAATCAACCTAAAAGAGCAAATATGTAACCAGATATCAGAGCAGAGGTAATCATTATTACGCTTAAAGATTCAATTGAACACTGAGTACCCCAAGTGGTGCTGGTGGTGGTGGTGGTGGTGGTGTTATGTGCTGTCAAGTCGACTATAACTCACAACGACCCTGTGAACCACAGCTCTGAACCCTGTTCTATCCTGAGCCAATGTCACGGTCTCTGTGTTATTACCCTCATTACCTGAGTTATTGTCTCAATCCATCTCATCCATGTCTTCCTCTCCTGCATTGTCCGTCAACCCTTCTAAGGCGATTATCTTTTCTAAAGACTCATCCCTCCCGGCTACATGCCCAAAGTATGTGAGGCAAAGTCTCAAAATCCTTACATCCAAGAAATAGCCTGGTTTCACCCTGTACAGGACACATCTGTTCGTTCTCTTGACAGTCCATGTGATAGTCACCATTTCTTCTTCAACACCACGAAGGAATCAATTTGTCTTCTGTCATCTTTGGTGTTTGTCCAGTTCTCTATGCATGGCAAGTAATTGCAAGGACTATGGCCTGGATCAAAAGCACCTTAGTCTCTACACTGACATCATTGTTCTTCAGTACTCTGGAGAGATCCCTGACAGCAGATTTTCCTAATGGAATTTGTCTTTTGATTTCCTGACTGCTGGTGCCAAGAGTGTTGACTGTGGAGCTGAGCAAGCTGAAACTGTTAACAATCTCAATCTCTTCCCCATCAATCATGATGCTACCAATTGGCCCAGTGGTGAGAATCTTCATTTTCTTGATGTTGAGCTTCAACCCATAGCGCAGACTACAGTCCTTGACCGTCTACAGAAAATGCTTCAGGCCCTCCTCAGCTTCAACAAGTAAGGTTGTGTCATCTGCATAATGCAGGTTGTTGATGAGTATTTCAGTAGCTAAGATTAAAAGAAAAAAATAAAATAATCCAATGGAGAATAGAAATTTTGAATGATTAAAAGAAAGCAATTAGCATGAAGAGTTAAAACACTTCACTGGCTCCAAATTCAAGGACACACAATACATTGAGGGGGAAATCTTATGTATTATCTTCAAATTCCTTATATAAAAAAAAATTAAGTGAAAAGTATACATATCCAAACAGCTTCAATAAAACAATGCAGGATGCTGAATGAGATTTCTCAGTAGCCCCACAGAGTTATTCTGCAGTTTATCCTTTAAACAGTTGTAGCCATAGTCTGGGTACGGAGAAGATTAGTGGTAGCAAATCCCATTCATGACAGGCCTGGACTCGGCCGCTGTTAAGTTCTGTGGGACTAGACAGGTACGATCATGCTGGAACGAATCACTTCCTCTAATAAAACGTATTGAGCAAAGACAATATCGCAATCATGGGACTCAATAAAACAGTAAACACAACAAAAAAAGTCCCTGACCTTGGATTTCACTACAGTCTGGAGAAGGGGGTGCACTAATGAGAAATCACATGCATAAATCATCAGAGACTGTGGTAAGTGTTACACATGGGGAGTTGAAGGCGTTAGCAAAGCACACATAGGATGCTGACAGAAATCCTCGGGGGAGAGGGTGTCAGGTGGGCACTGGAAAGACTGGGTGCTTGAGATTTAAGTACAAAGAGCAGAGTTTCAGGCACAGGAGATGGCATGTTCAAAGGCCCTGGGACAGAAAGAGGTCAGATGTGTTTGTTATCAGAAATATCACAAGTAGGGAGCTTACATAGAGAGAATTTGTTTTCACAGCTTCTTGGTATCAGATACCATTGAGTCAACTCCAACTCACAGAGTGACAATAGAAGAAAGCTAGAAACGTGAACCTAGGGTGCTGTTTCCAGGGGAAGAATCGTCAGCCCTGCAGTGAGGGCCTTGTCTCTTCAGAGCTTCTGCTCCTGGGAGATCTTGGCATCTCTCTTCCTCCATCTCAGCTCTCCCTGCTAGCTTACGTAAATGCTTCTAATGCCAAAAGAGACAGACTCAGGACACACCCTACACTAATCCTGTCTATTAACACAACAACATGCTCCGAAGTGGCATAAACCAGGCACAGAGGTTGAGATTTATAACATATTTTGGGGGTGAAGAAGTAGTAGTTTATTCTCTAACAATAAGGTATGTATATTAAAGGAAGGGGGACACTGCTCAGAAGGCAGCTGGGTATATTCACATAGCTTTGCACGCCACATTTCGCAGCACTCTTCTGCACTGGCCTTTCTTCCTAGAAGACATAGAGATTTTCAAAGAGGACTGGGACATGGCAGAAACAACTTGGGCACTAAATGATGCCATTCATTGAGGGCAAAACTAGAATGGCTCAGGCCAGGGAGTAACCAGCACACCTGCAGATGTGACATGTTGTTGTTGCTATGTGCCATTGAGTCGCTTGTGACTCATAGTGACCCTCTGTACATCAGCCCTAAACTCTGCTCTATCCTGTGCCAATCTTACTGTCTCTAACACACCTACCACCATTACCCCAGTCACTGAACCAATCCATCTCATCAAGGTTCTTCCTCTCCTGCACTGTCCCTCCACCCTCCCAAGCATGACATCCCTCTCCAAGGAATGGTCCCTCCTTGCAACATGTTCAATGTTTATCAGCAAAGCTTCAGAATCCTTGCCTCCAAGGACCAGCCTGGCTTTACCCTCTCCAAGACAAACTTGTTTGTTCTCCTGGCAGTCCATGGTATATTTAATACTCTCACCAGCACAGTTCAAAGGCATCAACTCTCCTTCTCTCCTCCCTAGTCATTATCCAGCTTTCTGATGCATAGCAAGTAATTGAAAAGACCATGGCCTGTATCAGGCGCACCTTAGTCTCCAGACT